CCACCGGAAACCCCATTCACTTCGTTATCTGAATACGTATTATTTTGAGGCATGATTTTCTTGGGATAGTACAGCGGTGGTTTCCCCTTGCCTTCCGCCGGTTTGTATATGGTTTGACTCGAATAGCCTTTGTCTAAAAAGACTTATCCTGCAAGGCAGCAGGGGGGAGAGGTTATGGCGCCTCTTACCCGCCGATGGCCATGTCGTAGAGTTTTGAGGTATTTTATAGAGTTAGCTGTCCCACCAACTAACTCGCCTCCTCTCAATGACCATCACCTGTTTTGGTCCACGGCCACTTATTCAATATATTCGTGGCTAACCTCTATATCTAGAGGCCTTTCCACCATCCGCCACCTGGTGGACGCGCCTAGTAGTAGGACAGGCTCCTACCCCAGGAGACAAGTATAAATGTGAAAATTATAGAGGCATATCATTATTATCTACAAGATACTATTGGTGGTTCTGTTAAAGAGGCTAAAACCATATGTCGATGACATTGGGAGAATACCAAGCAGGTATCTGACAAAACAGATCAGATAATTATTTTACGGCAAATAGCATAGCAAAAATGGAAATACAGAAGAGATGTACATAATACTTCTGTGGATTTTTAAAAGGTGTATGATAGTGTACATAGAAACAGTATATAGAATGCTATGAATGACTTTGGAATACCAAAAGAAGTTAATTACCATGACCAAACTATGTATGGAAGACACTTATAATATAGTAATATATAAAGGCAGAAAGTCAAACCCTTATCTAATAACATCTGTTTTAAAGCAAGGTGATGCTCTGTCCCCACTTCTTTTAAGCTTGGCCCTGGAGAAAATTGAAAAAAGAGTGTGCTTTAGAAGAAACTACAAGAATACTTGGTTATGCAGATGACATTGATATCATTGGAGAAAATAAATCAGAGACTGTAAAAACACCAACTCTTTTAAAAGAAGCAGCTCACAAAATGAGACTAGTTTTCAATCAAGGTAAGATAGAATACATGATAATAACAAGACAGGAAAAGGATATAAACTCTGGCCATATACAAGTCGATAATATGAAAATCAAACGAAAGGAAACATAAGTTTTTTGGTGCAAATTTCAACTGCTCCGTCATGCTAAGATAAGAAATGCAATTTAGAATACAATCTGGCAAAAAAAAGAATATATGCCTTCAACATATGCTAAAGTCAAAGTGTCTGTCTGGCAACACCAAGATCAAAATATATAAAACGATAAGACCAGTCATTTTATATGGCTCTAAAACTTGGAGTACACCTTAAAGAGATGAAGCCTCATTAAAATTTTCGAAAACAGAGTATTATGACGAATCTTTGGACCCACCAAAGATGCAAAAAGTGGAAAAAGGAGAGTAAGAAGCAATAACAAAATTCATAAGCTGCTTAAATATTCATTGATCAGTGGCATCATGAGATCTAATAGACTGAAATGGCTGGGGCATGTTGAGAGAATGTCAGATGACAAAGAGGTAAAAACAGTATAACAAGGGAGATGAATGGTCGTAGACCAAGAGGCAGACCAAGAAGACGATGGACAGATAATGTCCAGAGAGACCTGCAAACACTTGGTGTTACTAACTGGAAAGAGAAGGCCAACCAGAGAGATGCTTCGAGGCGGGTGATATCTGCAGCAATGAACCTCAAGGGTTCAGAATGCTGAAGAAGATTTTGTTTCCCATCATTGTTATTGTGATTGATGTTTTCCTAATTTTTTTGGGTGGCTGGTTAATTTGCAGAAATGATTTCCTTTGTTCTTGTTACTAATAAAATATGATAGATGTCACTACAAAGGCATCAAGTGCTAGACTTTCACATATACTAGGTAACAGTATAATAAGGGAACGCACATCAGACCACTTGCTAATCAACACAGAACTGGTACTATTAGCCATCGGACGTTGGGGTTCATACTGAGGGAAGGATCTAAGCACCTATGGACATATCCGGGGTGCAATGATGATAACCCAACTAACTAACTAACTATGATAAGGGAAAGTGACAGTCACTCTTTCTTTCTGCTTTACCTTCTCAGAAAAATCTTCATACTTTATGAGACTGGGTTCATTGGGGGAGATGTACTGGACATAAAACAATGCAGACACATCCATAGGCTCATTGAAAATGGCAATAATTGTAAGCCAGAGCTCACCTCCAGACATGTCTGATTCCTAGTCATCTGATTTGTTTGTTGCACACAAAAACACGACTACCAGTTACAAAATCTATTTTATTACACCAACTAAAATGGCTCAGGTCACATGATGTTTACATTATAACTAGGCAACACTCAGGACTTTCGGTACTCACTATTCAAGAGAAGAACCTCAATTTCCCATGTTCAACAAATGTATGTATTATAAATAAAAACTGTTATCTCAATGACCAAGCTGGAAATACTTATGTACAGTCAAACATTTACAGCACATCAGTTGATACTCAGACAAGAGAAAACCATTGAAATAAAGTATACTGTAGAGGATATA